TCCAAGGCTCCTAGGGCAGTGAAGCCCTACTTGTCCAAGGACCAGGAAGGATGCTCCCCCAATACATCCCAGACTTCTAGGGCCAAGAAGGTGAGCAGGTCCCAGCAACCAGAGTGAAGCTCCTAGCCTCCACCCCAGGCTGCTAGGGCAGTGAAGCTCAGCCAGTCCCAGCACCCGGAAGGAAGCTCCCACCTGCTATTGCAGGCTCCTGGTGCCAAGAATGTGAGCAGGTCCCAGCACCAGGAAGGAAGCTCCCCCGCTGCCATCCCAGGCTCCTAGGACCAAGATTTTTAGCTGGTCCCAGCACCAGAAGGGAAGCTCCCCGCCTCCATCCCAGGCTCCTGGGGCAGTGACACTCAGCCAGTCCCAGCACCCAGAATGAAGCTCCCCAACTCCATCCCAGGCTCCTAGGGCAGTGAAACTCAGCCGGTCCCAGAACCTGGAAGGAAGCTCCCCTGCTGCCGTCTCAAGCTCCTAGAGCCAAGAAGGTGAGCCAGTCCTAGCCCCTGGAGGGAAGCTCAAAGCCTCCATCCCAGGCTCCTAGGGCAGTGAAGCTCAGCTGGTCCCAGCACCCAGAAGGAAGCTCCCCGCCTCCATCCCAGGCTCCTAGGGCAGTGAAGCTCAGCTGGTCGCAGCACCCAGAGGGCAGCTCCCCGACTCCATCCCAGGCTCCCAGGGCCAAGAAGGTGAGCAGGTCCCAGCACCCAGAGGAATGCCACCAGCCTCCATCCCAGGCTTCTAGGGCAATGAAGCTCAGTCAGTCCCAGCACCCCAAAGAAAGCACCCCCGCTGCCATCCCAAGCTCCTAGGGCCAAGAAGGTGACCTGGTCCTAGCACCTGGAGGGAAGCTCTCCAGCATCCATCCCAGGCTCCTAGGGCAGTGAGGCTCAGCTGGACCTACCACCTGGAAGGAAGCTCCCTGGCTGCCATCCCAGGCTCCTAGGGCCAAGAACGTGAACCGGTCCCAGTACCCAGATGGAAGCTCCCAGCCTCCATCCCAGGCTCCTAGGGCAGTGAAGCTCAGCCGGTCCCAGCACCCAGAAGGAAGCACCCCTGCTGCCATCCCAAGCTCCTGGTGTCAAGAAGGTGAGCCAGTCCTAGCACCTGGAGGGAAGCTCCCCAGCCTCCATCCCAGGCTCCTAGGGCACTGAAGCCCAGCTTGTCCAAGGACCAGGAAGGAAGCTCCCCCACTACATCCCAGACTCCTAGGGCCAAGAAGGTGAGCAGGTCCCAGCAACCAGAGTGAAGCTCCTAGTCTCCACCCCAGGCTAAGAGGGCAGTGAAGCTCAGCCAGTCCCAGCAGCCGGAAGGAAGCTCCCACCTGCCATCCCAGGCTCCTGGTGCCAAGAATGTGAGCAGGTCCCAGCACCAGGAAGGAAGCTCGCCCGCTGCCATCCCAGAGTTCTAGGACCAAGAATGTGAGCTGATCCCAGCACGCAGAAGAAAGTTCCCCGCCTCCCCAGGCTCCTAGGGCAGTGAAGCTCAGCCTGTCCTTCACCAGGAAGGAAGTTCCGTGGCTGCCATCCCTGGCTGCTAGGGTCAAGAAGGTGAGCTGGTTCCAGCACCAAAAGGGAAGCTCCTCTCCTCCATCCCAGGATCCCAGGACAGTGAAGCCCAGCTGGTCCCAGCATGAGAAAGGAAGCTCCCCGCCTCCACCCCAGGCTCCTAGGGCAGTGAAACTCAGCTGGCCCCAGCACCCGGAAGGAAGATCCCTGCCTCCATCCCAGGCTCCTAGGGCCAAGAAGGTGAGCCAGTCCCAGTAGCCGGAAGGAAGCTCCCCAACTCCATCCCAGGCTCCTGGTGCCAAGAATGTGAGCAGGTCCCAGCACCAGGAAGGAATTTCCCCGCTGCCATCCCAGGGTCCTAGGACCAAGAATGTGAGCTGATCCCAGCATGCAGAAGAAAGTTCCCTGCCTCCCCAGGCTCCTAGGGCAGTGAAGCTCAGCCTATCTCTTACCAAGAAGGAAGCTCCCTGGCTGCCATTCCAAGCTCCTAGGACCAAGAAGGTGAGCTTGTCCCAGCCCCAGGTGGGAAGCCCCCAGCCTCCATCCCAGGCTCCTAGAGCAGTGAAGCTCAGCTGGTCCCAGCACCTGGAAAGAAGTTCCCCCGCTGCTATTCCAGGCACCTAGGGCCAAGAAGGTGAGCCAGTCCCAGCACCAGAAGGGAAGCTCCACGTCACCATAGCAGGCTCCTTGGGCAATGAAACTCAGCCGGTCCCAGCACCCAGAAGGAAGCTCCCCAACTCCATCCCAGGCTCCTAGGGCATTGAAGCTCAGCCAGTCCCAGCAGCCGGAAGGAAACTCCCCAACTCCATCCCAGGCTCCTAGGGCAGTGAAGCTCAGCCAGTCCCACCATCTGGAAAGAAGCTCCCATGGTCCTGTTCCAAGCTCCTAGGGCCAAGATGAGCTGGTCCTAGCCCCTGGAGGGAATCTCCCAGCTTCCATCCCAGGCTCCTAGGGCAGTGAAGCCCAGCTTCTCCAAGGCAAAGGAAGGAAGCTCCCCCCCTCCATCCCAGGCTCCTAGGGCACTGAAGCTCAGCTGGTCCCAGCACCCAGAAGGAAGCTCCACAACTTCATCCCAGGCTCCTTGGGCCAAAAAGGTGAGCAGGTACCAGCCCCCAGAGGGAAGCCCCCAGCCTCCATCCCAGGCTCCTAGGGCAGTGAAGCTCAGCCAGTGGAAGCACCCGGAATGAAGCTTCCCCGCTGCCATCCCAAGCTCCTAGGCCCAAGAATGTGAGATGGTCTCAGCACCTGGAGGGAAGCTCCCCAGCCTCCATCCCAGGGTCCTAGGGCAGTGAAGCTCAGCTGGTCCCAGCATCGGGAAGGAAGCTCCCCACCTCCATCCTAGGCTCCTAGGGCAGTGAAGCACAGCTGGTTGTAGCATCCGGAAGGAAGTTCCGTGGCTGCCATCCCTGGCTGCTAGGGTCAAGAAGGTGAGCTGGTCCCAGCACCAGAAGGGAAGCTCCTCTCCTCCATCCCAGGATCCCAGGACAGTGAAGCTCAGCTGGTCCCAGCATGAGAAAGGAAGCTCCCCGCCTGCATCCCAGACTCCTAGGGCAGTGAAGCTCAGCTGGTTCCCGCACCCAGAAGGAAGCTGCCCAGCCTCCATGCCAGGCTGCTAGGGTAGTGATGCTCACCCAGTCCCACCACCAGGAAGGAAGCTCCCCAACTGCCATCCCAGGCTCCTAGGGCCAAGAAAGTGAGCCGGTCCCAGCACCCAGTAGAAAGCTCCCCACCTCTATCCCAGGCTCCTAGGGCAGTGAAACTCAGCTGGCCCCAGCACCCGGAAGGAAGATCCCCGCCTCCATCCCAGGCTCCTAGAACAGTGACGCTCAACAGGTCCTAGCACCCAGAAGGAAGCTACCCCACTGCCAACCCAGGCTCCTGGTGCCAAGAAGGTGAGCCGGTCCCAGCGCCAGAAGGGAAGCTCCTGTGATGCCATCCCAAGCTCCTAGGTCCAAGAAAGTGAGCCGGTCCTAGCACCGGGAGGGAAGCTCCCCAGCCTCCATTCCAGGGTCCTAGGGCAGTGAAGCCCAGCTTGTCCAAGGAACAGGAAGGAATCTCCCCCACTACATCCCAGGCTCCTAGGGCCAAGAAGGTGAGCAGGTCCCAGCAAGCGAGTGAAACTCCTAGCCTCCACCCCAGGCTCCTAGGGCAGTGAAGCCCAGCTTCTCCAAGGAAAAGGAAGGAAGCTCCCCCCCTCCATCCCAGGCTCCTAGGGCAGTGAAGCTCAGCAGGTGCCAGCACCTGGAAAGAAGCTCCCTGGCTGCCATCCCAGGCTCCTATGGACAAGAACGTGAACCGGTTCTAGTTCCCGGAGGAAAGCTCCCAGCCTCCATCCCAGGCTCCCAGGGCAATGAAGCTCAGCTGGTCCCAGCAGCTGGAAAGAAGCTCCCTGGCTGCCATCCCTGGCTCCAGGGGCCAAGAAGGCTCCTAGGGCAGAGAAGCTCAACCGGTCCCAGCAGTGGAAGGAAGCTCCCCACCTCCATCCCAGGCTCCTAGGGCAGTAAAGCTCAGCTGGACATAGCACCTGGAAGGAAGCTCCCCCTTGCCATCCCAGGCTCCTAGTGCCAAGAATGTGAGCAGGTTCCAGCACCCGGAAGGAAGCTCCCCCACTCCATCCCAGGCTCCTAGGGCAGTGAAGCTTAGCCAGTCCCAGCACCCAGAAGGAAGCTCCCGTGATGCTGTCCCAAGCTCCTAGGGCAAAGAAGGTGAGCCGGTCCTAGCACCTGGAGGGCAGCTCCCCAGCCTCCATGCCAGGCTACTAGGGCAGTGAAGCCCAGCTGGTCCCAGCATCGGGAAGGAAGCTCCCCACCTCCATCCTAGGCTCCTAGAGCAGTGAAACCCACCCCAGCCTCAACAATCCCAGCCATCATCTTCCTGCAAGCCTGCCCTAGGCATCCCTCATGCTGAGCGGCAGGAGTGTGAGGTGCAGCAGGTAAGGAGGGGTCTGGATGTGTGGCGAGGGGCCAGCACAGACAGGCTGGGGGGAGAGGGCAGCCCGCCATCAGGAGCCAGGGTCAGGTTAGGATGAACTGTAGGGTTAGAGCTCGTGTTAGGTGTTGGTTAGGTTCAGGCTAGTTTTACACTAACCTCAAGTTGTACGCAAGTATTCATGTTGGAGTTTGTATTATCACTTGGCATATTGTTAGGTTTATCGCTTACAATTAGGTTAGCTCTGTGAGGAAATCAGTGGCATTTTTATAAGATAATGCAGTGCTTAGGCCCACTTCATTTTCACCACTTACTCTGCCTGAGAGAAAACTTCTAGTTCAGAAATTGCAGATTGAGGCTATGTCTTTACAGTCCTCTGTTTTGACAAAGAACTGCAAGTAGCTGTTTTGGGAATTTGTCAACTCATTTGTCTGAATTTTCACAACTGGCATTATGTCACAATCAGCCAGATATAGTTATTTCCCTGAAAGTCAATAGTAGTTTAACATGAAATATAACACTATGGAGTTGCTAATTTGGGGGGAAATATTGTTAGCAAAATGCAGGTGGTATATTGTCATGAAAATTATATTTCTAGGAATTTCTTTAGCATATCATTTGAAAATTCTTTTATTTATAATCTCTGTTTACATAGAATACCTCAGAACCATATTTCCCTCATTGTAAATAGCTGTTAAAATGTATTTTCAGTTTTTTAGTGACACCACTTCAGTTTCAGTTTTTTTCCCCCAGTGGTTTCTTTTCTTTCCTTTTCTTTTTTTTGAGACAGAATCTCACTTTGTAATTGAGGCTGGCCTTGAACTCACTACGTAGCCCAGGCTGGCCTGGAGCTCATGTTGATCCTCCTGCCTCAGCTCCTGAGTGGTGGGATTACATGAGTGTACCACCACTCTTGGTTTTAACTTCTTGTTTACCAGTAACCACAGGATTGGTGTCTAATCTTCAGTGCCAGTCAGTAATGACTGTCACAGTGCAGTAAAATGGCCTTCTTGCTGTTCAGCTGTTACAGGCCTGAGATTGTTGGAGCATCTTTGAATATCTCATCCTTATTAGATTGTCAGTAAGTACAGTTTGCCAAATCAATTTTGAGGCACTGGAACATACCTGCATGAAGAATGACCTCATCTTTTACTTGTCATTAAACTCACTTAAAGTCAGGTATCCAATGTAAAGTGTGTACATGCCCTGTCTGGAATTCCCACACTTCCCCATATAGGTCAGAGATGAGAGAGGAGGAAACACTTTGGACTAAGATATGGGGTTGGGAGAGAAAGAATTTTTACGTACACATTACCCTTTTGCAAATATTACAAATGGGGAGTACAGAGTAGAAAAAGTATACAGTAGTTAAGACATTTGCTTTATAAATTGTTAACTTTTAGAGATAGAATGGCTACTAAAAATAGAGTCCTCACACTAAAGAAAAATTCATGTCATTTTGAAAATAAGATCTTGTTCCATAAATGCAGCGGAACTAAATGTTAATGTCAGTTCACAGATCTGTGCTGTGAGGGAAATGAGCAAAGGAGAAAAACTTTCAACCAGTGACTTTTTTTTTTTCTTAAGTTCTTTTATTGGTACATTTAAGGTATACAATTTGTTTACATTTATCATTGGGTGTTTGTACCTGTACATGATGCATCTTGGTTCTTATTTTCTCTTATTATCTTTAGCACCTAGTCAGCCCGCTGCAGACGGGCGGGTCTGCGGGCGCGGTGTCGGGGTCGCTGTCTCGCTGGGGGCACCCAGTGCCTGCTGCAGATGGGTGGGTCTGCGGGCGCGGTCCCGAGGTCTCTGGTCCCGCTGGGGGTGCCGACTCGGCCCGCTGTAGACCGGCGGGTCTGCGGGCGTGGTCTCGGGGTCGCTGTCACACTGGGGGCGCCAAGTCGGCCCGCTGCGGACGGGTAGGTCTGCAGGCGCGGTCCAGAGGTCTCTGGCGCCTCTGCAGACTGGCGGGTCTGCGGGCGAGTTCCCGCCGTCTCTGATCGCACTGGGGGCGCTGAGTCAGCCCGCTGCGGAAGGGTAGGTCTGCAGGCGCGGTCCCGGGGTCGCTGTCAGGGGCGCCAAGTGGGATCGCTGCAGAATGGCGGGTCTGCAGGCCTGGCCCTGACGTCGCTGGTCATGCTCCCGAGGTCTCAGGTCGCGCTGTATCCGAGTTGGCCCGCGCCCTGGTAGCAATCCACTGGAACCTCCCCACTCCTTTGGACCCTTCTCTGTACAGCCACCTGCTTCCACACTACAAAGATGCAGAGTAGTACTCCATTTTATTAAAAAAATGAGAAATTAGAGACATTTATAGCTAAGTGGATGAACATTGAGGCAATACTCTTAAGTGAAATAAATAGGGCACACATGTGTAAATACCGAAGTTTCTCTGGTGTGAGAAACTGAAAGTGTAAATAAGGACTAAAATGTATAATAGGTAATGTGAAATAGGAAGAAAAGGGCCAGAGGGGAAGGAAGTGGGAGGGCTAGGGGAAAGGATAGAATGGAATGGGATTAATATGAGAAAATGGAAATATAGGAACAAAATGTTTGTAAATAGGAATGGAGTGGTTGAAGGGAGGGCTGGGCAA